ATTCTATTCTATTCTATTCTATTCTATTCTATTCTATTCTATTCTATTCTATTCTATTCTATTCTATTCTATTCTTCTAAACCACATCTGTTGCCTCCCATCATCACATTCCAAGGCTCTCAGATTGAAAGTACCTCAGTATAAATACTGAGGTTTTGTTATTGATGAATCTCTGACTTTTGTTGTCCACATTCAACAACTGGTAAAAACACTGAAGATCAAGCTGGGTTTTTATTTTAGAATCAGAGCTTTGTTTATCTTTTGAGGCTAGAAAATGTCTTGTTGCTGCCACATTTTTACCCATCTTAGATTATGGAGATGTGATTTATATGCACACATCTTCTCACTGGTTGCATTTGTTGGACTCTGTGTATCATGGAGCCTTGTGTTTTATCACTGGTCTCAGAGCTCTTACCCACCACTGTCATCTGTAGACCAGCGTTGGATGGACTGCCTTATCCACCCAAAGATTTGTTCACTGGCATATTCTTGTTTACAAAGCAATCTTGGGTTTACTTCCCCTTTCCATCCTGTCCTATATCAATATGGAAAATACAGGAAGTCATTTTTTGTGCTTGGGTGAGCTCATTTTATTAACAGTACCTAAGGTTCGCACTGATTGTGGCAGGAGCTCCTTCCACTTTGCTGCTCCCTCAGCCTGGAATCTACTGCAGAAAGACTTGGAAGAGTTGGTCTCTTTTAATGTTTTTAGGGCCATTCTTAATCACTTTGTACTTAAGACATTTGTTTGTAAATGTTTAACAGATTTTATGAGTGTTTCTTGTTTGTCTTTTATTTATCATGAAGTATTTGATTGTAGTTTAATATTTATAGATTTGAATTATGTAATGTCTGTGTGCTGCTGTTGTTCTTCGCCAGGTCTCTCTTGAAAAAGATTTGGAATTAAATCATCTCCGTTAACTGTCGCAAGCTGAGCTCCACTTCATTTCCAACAGAAACCAGTAATGGAGATGGTTGAAGAAAGCCAAGAAACCAGCTTGATGGCTATAACTCAGCTCGATGTTTGAGATTTTAGGACTGAAAAATAGTTCCTATCAGTTTAAATGTCTTCTGGGTTCACCACAGACCAACTACATTTCTGAATTTAAGAACTCACCACTTATTACATTTTTATACTGAAGTCTTTACAGGTGGTGTAGAATATGTAGCAGAGTGGATCTATGTGTCAAAACATCAGGTGGTTTCTGGGAGTTACAAGGTTCTGTAAAATCACTTAAAACAATACAGCAATGTACTGATATTAGAATATTTTATTTGTACTTTTGAATACTTATGTATTTTCAAAAGTAGGCTAAGTACTTCTGTACTTTAACTTGAGTAGATCTTTGACCGAGTAACTTTTACTTGTAGTTGAGTAGATTTGACCCTGAGTTTCAATACATTTACTCAAATACTAGAGTTGAGTACTTTGTCCACCACTGACTCCCATTAAATGGACTTGAATTGCTTTAATGGATAAGTGTTTGGCTGTTAAAACAAGACACTAGATAAGATTGGGGAGAATTCCTGCTGTTTTATATGCTAAAAAGTAATGTAGCAACTTTAATAAGAAAATCCAGGAAAATTCCATGAATGGCACTATATGTTATCTGGTCTTTACAAAATGTCTCAATTTCCTCCATCTCTGGAAAAATATGAGCAATAGTAAATGTAGTCATTTCCATGAGGTAGGTTCATAAGTTACACAGTCATGTTTTATTAATGGCTCTGCATTTTATTTCTATTGTTAGAAATAAAAGGATTTCCTTCTGTGAACAAATGTTTGAGCAAAACTACCAGAAGTGTATCACCTAAAACAGAGATTCTTAACCTATGGGCCACAACCCAATTGTGGGCCGCAAGCGCCACCTTGAGGGCCTCAAAAGAACAACAGTTTTTAACTTTGGGCCGTGGGACCACATTGATTTTGAATAAGGTGCAGAACAGTTTCTCACCACTAGTAGCAGTAGTGCACCAGTCAGATGTTTAACAACTTTTTTTAATACGTTGAAGAAGAACCTTAGAAAGCTGCCGAGAATGGAAACTTATTTTAAATGAAAAGTAGAAGCAAAATTGAAGGTAACCCTTTAAAAAAAGCCAAAGTTTGTCACTAATATTGAAGTACAGCTTCTGTTTTTACCATGTAATATTTCAAAAGTTCAAAACATTATCAAATACAGTTGCAGAT